TTATTAGATCTTAAATCTTCTTCATAAAAATCAATAGCTGGCTGTATATCACTAAATGATAAATTACCAATTTTGCTAGGTAATAACGAAGATAAAGAAATAAAAATATTAGAATCTGTGATATCAAGAATAAGATTATTGTTATCAGGCATATGCCCTTGAACCACTAAGCCCACCCCCTGGATATGGCACTGAATTGCGTAACATTTGTTCATGGTTCCCAAATAATAACTGTCGGAATAAACATCCTTTAACAAAAATACATTTTGGCGGAAACGTGTTAGGCGTAAAATCAGGGAACCAGTTTTTTGGCGGAAACGGGATATCCCCTCAAATAAGTTTTGTTTTTTGAAATTATTAATTCAAGTTTCATTCGCAATTTTTTATGAAAATTATTTATAAGAATATACGATGATAGACACAATAGGTATATATATTATAAAATAAAAATACACAATAGGTACAATCATTATATTGTTTGGAATTCAATAAATTAATAAATATAATAGTAAAATTAGGAACATCAAGAGTAAATAAAAATAATTACAATTGATAGTATTAAAGAAATAGTAATACAATAACAATTAACTTTGGAAAAATCCATAAGGTTTAATTTTGTAATCTAATTCTTGTAAGACCATTTGGTAACGATTTGTTATTAATTGTTTAAATGCTCCATGACATGATTTAGAACAAAAATATTGAGCATTGAAATGAGTGTGTGATCTGAAAAAGAAACTTAAGAAATTCAACATTTTTAATTATGTTATTAGATATATATTTTGTTGTGGCCATAACCATACATTATACTATTATATAGTATTATATAATACTATAATAGTAATATARCCTATAGGTAAATCCTACTAATATATTGTACTTAAAATACATTAACATATTAACCTATCGTATTTTATTATTTATAATAGATAATAATATATAAAAATGTCTTACTCATATTGTAATAAACAAATATAGCTGAATGTGAACATCGGTCTCGAGCATTGCATACAGGAAGCAGTTGGACCGGACAACAATTGTTCGCACAAATGTTTTGGGATACAATCGTTGGAAAATGGTGTCTTCCAAACATAGAGTGCCCTGAGGGAAAATTCTTTCAAAGTAGGACAGTGTGCATTTCCTTGGACACTGAACACTTCTTTGATTTTAGGCGATATAATCAGAGTCCGACCGTTGCACGTAAGTGTTATATTTGGCAACATGTGTACTCCCAGAAATTGGTGTGTGCCGCAATGTACTGCCCTGATATAACGGTAACATATATAGATGGGTATAAAAAAATACCCTTACATGTGTTAACTTAAAAAATAAATATTTATATCCTATCCACATCTGATAGCGTTTATACAATGWTATCGTTACGCGTTTATGCATTTGTATAACAGTGAGTAGTGARTAGTAATGGATCCAGAGTTTGATTTGAGGGGGGTTCAAATTTCTAAAAGCCCTGACTCCCYGAGAAATGGACTTTATTATCGCTCATGCCTCTATTATATAAACAAGATTTATCATTTGAAAGTTATGTTTCCTTTTATTGTATTTAATAACATAATTTATAAACATTTATTTATATAGACGTACCTATACATTCTTATGAATTGCGTAAACCACAATATCCTATAGTTATCAACATGTTTAAATGTTTACTATACAAAATCAACAATAACATTACGTATCCAATAAATAATGTAGGACTTTTGTCTTTTGAACAACTTAATACCAAATAAAATATGACAAAACTAATTAATTATAAAAATGGGCAATGGCATTTGGTCCGACTGGTCCATGGTTTAGGAAGGAGAGCAAACACTTCCTTCGTTACTGATCAGTGATCCTCAATTCTTTGATCAACTACCAGTATAAATAGTATAATGGAGGTTAATTTTATACGTTTAAACTTTTTCTTGATGATCTTAAACTGTATTATAC